ACTAAATTTAAAAGTTTATTAAAAAAACACTTCTTAAATACGTTGTAACTTATTACGTAAATTAATTGTATTAATATTACCTAATTTAATAATTTATAAGCTATGTTTATATAAAGCGAGTTACCTGCAGTCAAACTGCGTAAGCAGTTTTGCGGGGCATGATTTAAATGAAAGTGTAACCACGGTAATATTATCTATACAGTATTGTGACTCCGCCCTGTCCCTCAGACCAAATAAAAAGTAAAGACGGAGTCTGCCGAACAAAAAAGTGAAGCCGGTTTTTTATGTATGTAGTGCATTAGCCAGTATTACCATAGTCATTTATAATATCCCAATATTAGAAAAATGTAATAACGTTATTTCATAACGAAAAAAGTCCTAGGCTTATTCTCTAAACTAGTCCAGATTAGTTTTACACTAGCGCTAGATGCAACCTCTCGTGAGCCAAAGGCCATGCGCTTGGAGATCTGGAGTTCCTGTGATTTATAAGTTTAATAACTGTTACACTAATAAAAGTTTAGTTAAAAAATATATAATAAAAACAAAGCTTAACCTTTGGAGTTTTTGGCGGGATTTCATGGAGTGCGGTTAGCATCATATTTTAATTATTCTTTAATTCATTCATAGTGAATATTGTGGAATAAAATTAGTGTAATTTTGTGTTTCAACCGTCTGCACGACTGAAGAATTATTGGAATCTTTTAAAATATAAATTAACCTAAGTAACCATATTAAGTAAAGTAAAAAAAAAAAACCTTTGGATATGCATTTTGTTTTACACGACGTAACCCTTTTGTTGTGTAGTACAAATCGTCGCTCTGAAAATGAGTCGAACAAACCACGCTGCGGGAAGCTGGTTGCCACAATTTTGATCTCGATTAGGAAATCGTAAAAAAAACGTATAGTTTATATACGTATTACATCCCAAAAAAAATATACGAATACATAAAGAAAAAAGATAATAAAGATGTTTCGTGTAATTGTTTATCCATGCATTACAATATTCGAATAGTATAAACTTTTATATTACATATACTACATGCTACACAATATATTTAATAAAATAACGTTACGTTATATTTCACGTTACCCAACAAAAGGGTTAAAACTGATAATATATCATGGCAGCATTTCGTCAGGTTTTGTTTACAAAACGACAACCTCAAATTTGATTTTGATTAATTGAAAATATTAGTTTATAACTTTACTTACGTATGAAATGCGATTCCATCCTGTTTTTTATTCTTGGAAGATTGGTTTCGACACGATTTCACTACACAATTCGGTATTTTTTCTAATAAATATTGTTATTTATTATTACGTCACACTCCGCGCGCCGGGATAGCTCGACTGAAAAGCCAAGGCGTAGTTTTGTTGCATGTGTGTGCGTGTAACTGTGTATGTACACGGCGAGGCGTAGTTTTATCGGCTTCACTTTTTTGTTCGGCAGACTCCGTCTTTACTATTTATTTGGTCTGAGCCCTGTCCTTGAAAATAAATGCCTACACCGAACGCTGCGTTGGCACGCGGTAGGACCGCCAGCCTACAGTATTTTATGTAGTTTTGTTTTTAACGCGAGTGTAGGTAGATTACTCGTTTGTCTCTTTTTTCATCCTAACCACTTATTTATATATTATTCCAGATATTTTGCCAGATGGAAAAACCGAAATACCTAAATATTAGAAACAAATAACGTACTAGTAGATAGGTATAAAAAAATATTCTATAAAGGTAAGACACCTTTCCAATATTTCAGGTAATTTAAAAAATGATATCTCTGGGTGTGTTGTTGAAGAGTTCAAGCAACCAAAAACAGCAATTGTGCTGTTGTACGATATTGATCGTTGTTTGTTCTTTTCCATACTAAATTATGTAGGTATCTACTTAATTAAATCAAATATTTACAATACAAAACGCATGTTTAAGCACGGCTAACTGCATAAAAACAATTCAGACCGTTCGGTCGTCGTTGCGGCGCGGCGGGGCGCATTCGCGACTGGGTGCACGCCGAGAGCACATCGAACTCGAGTGGCGTAGGTATGACTCGCTTTCCGACCGTTTGTATGAAGATAGAATACTGTATGATATTATTACCGTGGTGTAACTTTTTATGAATAAATATATTACATACATACATACATTTATGTACTGTACTGTGGTGTTTCAATAAATAATTGTGTATTGTATTGTATTGTCTTAGAAAATTTCTTACCTAATATAAACCCCTCAGCAAAACCATTGAAAGCCACTTAGACGAAGTAATTGCTTGTTTCTAACGCGGAACACTATTCATTGAAAAAAAATATCTTTAAATAACTTAACAAAAACACAATAAAATATCATTTTTTCCACAAAGCTGCCGCTTGATGGCGCTGTACTAACGGCTTCTGTACCCTTACCACGAACTAATATCGAATTCGTATCGTCTGCGAGTACGAAATGTCATTGTCAAATGTGTAGGTACTGATTTTTAGTTCCCGTTACGTACTTTGTGGTGCTGCTGTTCAAGTTTCCATACGAAATTTGACATTGACATTTCGGACTCGCAAACGTTACGAATTCGATATTGGTTCGTGCTAAGGGCATTGGTTACGACGAGCAACTACGGAATCCTACACTGCGCGTGGCAAGACACACACAGGGCCGGGTTATTTTTAAATAGGCAAGCGAATCTTCATTTTGTCGGATTTTAATGACCAAGGGTACAGCGGCTGAAATTTCTCTTCCTGGCTACAATCAAGGGTACAAAGGAAAATAAGCGACAAAACGTCCTGCTTTGAGCGTGTTTTACCGCCGAACAAATATCTTAACGTAATAGAACGCAGTGACTTGACATTATTGACTTTAGGGGTGAGAACAAAGCAGCGAAATGATAAAGTGATGCAGCCTAATACGAACTTCATGACACGAGGACGTCACGTTTTTGGAAGTGAAGATGAAACAGTGGAAATGGGTAAGCAATATTTTTACGTACAGTACACTTAGCACCAACCAATATCGAATTTGAATAGTTGAATTGGATCTCGATAAGTGTCAATTGTAAAGAACATTTGTATGGAAATTTTAACAACGCCACAACGGACGGAACGAGAATTAAAAATCTTCTATACAAAACTTCATGACATTTGAAGTGTATCGAGATCGAATTCAACTATTCAAAATCAAATTCGATATTGGTTCGTGTGGATGGTTGGTACGGATCGCACCAAATTTTTACTTCGGTCCGAAGTTGCTTCGCGCAGATGTACACAGTTGATTGGCGCGATCTGTATACGACTTTACATCTGGGTGAAGCAACTTCAGAGCGGACTGGAAATTTGGCGCAATCTATATTAGTACAGTCAATCTGTCGAAAAAAATATCGTTTCAGTGAAAAAAAACCTAAAGGGTAAGTCTTGTTTTTTCTGTTGCCAAATGACGTCAGTAAGCCACCTTGGCGATGGGCATGTTCAACTCGTAGGCGTTTTTTGAAAAACTCAAAAAACCGTAAAAATTTTTTGAAACGCATTTTTCTTGCTTTGTATGCTTTTTAGAAACTTTTTTTTTGACTATAATTGTAGAGGGCGTTGAGTGCTACAATTTATGTCATTGTTGCAATCTCGTACAACAAAAAATGCGCATTGTAGGTGGCGCTAAAGTCTCAAAAAAAGTGTTTTTTCACCTTTTCACCCTGAAAATATCATTTTAATGGAAAACTTTAAATGGCAAAGTAGTTTCGTACATAATTACCAACAACTTTTGTATAAACATTTTTACAATAATATTTTTTTAAATAATTTTTTTAGGGTAGCTTCCCTACATGTAACCTCTGGATGTTTTTTTTTTCATCGTCTACCCTATTATGTGTAGTTGTTGAATAGGTTCTCTAAACTTAGGCGTTTCTAAAACTATTTTTTGATTCAGGGATCCGTTGCGAAATATTAAACTTTAAAGTGCTAATTTTTGTTCGACGCGTCCCCCCCTCTAAAAGCTAAACTATTGGCTTCAAAAACCTGGAAAAATTCATGGTAATAGTGCTTTTCATGAATTTTTAAGGAAAACTATATCGGTTAAGATATCTTTGTTAGTTTAAGAGAAATAGTCGTTCCACTTTGGTTAATGAAAATTCATAACCTGTTGAAAATACCTTAGAAAAAAACATGAATAGTGACATAGATGAAGTTATTGCAGCGTAAAACGTTGCATTTAAAGATCAAAATAAAAATAAATCATTTCCGATACAGAAAGTAAAGACTCCTGTTCAAATATATTATGGTAACGACAAACCCACTCGGAACCCTACACTGTACGTGGCCGGTTTATTTAAATAGTAAGTCTTTTCTGAATGTGAAGACATGCATAAAGATATCGTTTCCGTTTCAAAATTCTTGATTTCTGCACACAGAAGTGCATTGCATCAAGGTCGAAATCTCCAGACCAAGTTAAAATCTTTTCAAATTAATTGACATTTCTGAATATTAATCTCCTTTCTAAGTATCATATAGTCTTTTTTTTATTTTCAATATGAACTTTCTGTCAGTGTCGCACAAGCAAATCATAATCAGAAAGTACAGTGGGCAAGTTAAATAGTAAGTTGTTATTAATTAATTAATTTTTACAAAGCAATATTTAACATTACAAAAGCTTAAAACTACTCGTTAGTGTGTTAAGTTTTTAAACATAAAAACCAGAAATAACTAAGTACTTAAATAATATAAGTAAGTTGATTAATATGAAATATCCGTACGCTTCTCGGATCCGTAAAGTTGGCGCGTAAACTGAGCAGTTTATATAATATAAACAGTGCATATGACGTTGTCAAAGCAACGTAGTCGGTCAAAATGTTGTCCTTTTGCTGTCCGATATTCAACCTTAGGTGCATCCCAAGCTAGGGAACGTGACCGTAGAAATGGAAAAGGGCTTGAAAAAACAGAAAGCTGTTTAACCATCCCATCCAATTCAATATAAATCCAAATCCAAATCCAAAAAGTTAAAATTTACTTAGAAAAATAACGGTACCATCAATCTGTGTTCTTTGGTTGTGTATCTACGGATACGGAAAATATGATTTTTTGAAATGAGGGTCCTTCCTACTTTCTACAAGACAATTTATTCAAGTTTGCTTAGGACGAGGCTTAAATATCAACCATTATGGCACCTATGGAAAAAAATAGTTTGTTTCACACATCTTAATATATAAAAGAAGAAACTGACTGACATTACAAAGCACTGCCCAAACAGCTGAGACTAGAGTCTCCAAATTTGGTGCGTAGGTTTCTTATGAGGTGTAGGGGTGCACTAAGAAATGATTTTTCAAAATTCACCCCCAAAGGAGTAGGAGTAAGGAGTAAAATAAAGGATGAAAGTTTGTATAAAAAATCTTATTACTTGGGTTAATAGACTTGAAACTTTTCATAAATACTTATCTAAATAAATTATAAAGTGTGTAATTTTTAGTTTTCTTAAACCACCCCTCAAGCGGTTTGGGAAGGTGTCGAAGTTTTCTTTGGTGTATTTGTTAACAAAAGATACCACGATAGCTTTGACATTGGCACCCTTATGTCGAGTCGGAACACGGGTCACGAAATTAATACTCGATTTGGTGACATGATTTTAGCCCCTATTTAATGACAATATCGAATAAATTTTCATTAGCCTTTTGAGGCACACCTTTGATCTCGATGTTGTTCGCCCGCAGCCACTGATCCTTTGCAATGAGCTCGTCTTCTAATGTTCCAACACGCTGATAAAGGGCGACGACCACATCTTTTATTTTTTAGACGTGTTCAACCCGCTTTTCTAACTTTGTTAGTTGGTTGCTGAAAGTCTTAGTGTTTGCCTTGAGTTCCCTGATACTTTCCTTTATTTTTATACATAATTAGTCAGTGAGATTAGAGGTGCAGTTATTGCCTGAATTGCAAAAAGCGTTAAAAATTGTGATATGGATAGGCATCGTCAGTGTTTACCACACCATTTCTGTCATTTAAAGGACTTCATCATTTATAATCACTACTATAATTTTACTAAGGGCCATTTAAGTGCTTTTATTTTATCGGCACGTTCCCCTTGGGCCCAATGGAAAAGTATGTATAATTCTTCGGTCCTTATTTTTGCCAAAACTCAAAGGAAATTCAACATTTTGCCGGTTCCCAAAATATATAATTTTTGTCCACCTGTTAATGAATCACGGTAATTATTATTACTGACAAACCTTCTGAAGCTATCACATCGTTGAGTTATTTTTTTACTGGCTGTAGAACTTCCATCCATTTTTTATGTCTGGGAAATTCCTTACGCATTCTTCAACCACCGGAGGAGTGAGAAGAAGGTCTCTGGGACATAGTACTTCCGTCGTAGATAAATCATTTCAGGTTTTAAGGGTTCCGTAGTCCTGACAAGGAACCCTTATAATGTCGTCATGTCCGTCTGTTTGTCCGTCCACGGTTTGGCTTGGAGACTGTTAACACTAGCGATCTGTAATTTTGTGAAGATATGTATATCAATCATGCCGATAAAGTGGTAGAATAAAATTGTGTAAAATATTTTTTAGGGTAGCTCCCCTAAATTTAACCTGGAGGTGATTTTATATTATCATCGTTTACCCCATCGTGTAGGGTATCGTTGAATAGGTCCTTTAAAATGACTTATGGGGTTTTTAAGACTATTTTCGATTAAGGGATCCGTTTGCGAAATATTGAACTTTAAAATGCAAATTTTTGTTCAAACAGGGCGTCCCCCCACCCCTCTCAAAGCTCAACTATTGGCTTAAAAATCATGATATTAGTGCTTTTAACGGTTAAAAAAGATTTGTTACTTGGCTGGTTTTTAATTTAACTTACCCCGGATTTTATGCGTTATTTAAGTTTTCAAATATAAAACGACTAAAATTATATCTTTTAAATAATTAGCAGATTGGCGAAAAAGCAGCTTTGGTAAAAACAATCCTGTCTGAATCACTAAGTCCACGCCGACGAAGTCGCGGGCAAGCTAGTATGTATTTGTACAATTTGAGTTCTTTCATATGTTTTTTAAATATGTTTTCAAAAAGAGATGTTTATGTTATCTGAAAATAAACCGTTTTTTGAAGTTGGTAAGTATTGCTCCTATTCCATAGTTTGATGCATCACAATGTACAGAAAACGCTAGTTTAAAATCTAGGCAAGCGAGCACAGAGGTAGTGACAAAATGCTTCTTTCAGTTTCTAAAATGCAGTTTCAGCATCGGGGTTCCAAGCAAACTAAGGAGCACTTATTCCTGAACAAGTGAGTTTGTTTGGAGGAGCAGTAATTGTGCTGAAATTTGGGATAATTCGCTGAAACCAACTATATGTACTGATGAATCTACGAAATTCCTTTCTAGAGGATGGTCTATGGTGTTGGTTATTCTAAAATAGATTTTGTCGGGATCGCCTCGTAGCCCATATTCATCCATCATGAAGCCAACATACTTAAGCTTTTTCCTGAAACTTTCCTGATTGCAGCGCCTCCCTTCGGGTAAAGTATTCAATTAATTTAACCTTTCTTAAATGTATTATATTTCTATTTTAAACTGTTGGAGTTTTTCCAGAGGAATTTTCCTCAGATTTTCTTCTTCTTCAAATTTATTTGAGCAATCTCTTATTTATTATATCGCAAGAGCCTTCGACGAAATCTTAGAAATCTTTAAGACGAAAATAGATGGTAGAAATCGGGTAATTCAATCTCAAGTGGGATACCAAGTGAAATAAATGTTTATTTTTATAATTGGTTGTGTGTGTCTGTGTGTGTGACAGTGACTTCAAGTCAATGAAGACAAGTAGTTTGTGTATTATACACAAAGCTGCCGACGTCAATGAATCTTAACGCTTCATCAAATCGCGTGTCGTCGAATTATTTTGTGATCACAAAGATAGTAACTGCAATCAAACTTTAAGTTTATTAATGTTTTGTTTAATTTTAATTAAATAGGATAATTAAAAAATATATTAAATAGGATAGCCTATATGATGCGTGAAACTAAATTTTACATAAAAGTTCGACTTATTTATTATTTTTCTGTGCCCTTAATCACGAGAGTGAGCTCTTAGATAGAGGACCGAATCGAACAATATTAAAAGTCTCTATCTATTTCCGTTTTCAGAGATCAAAGGACACTTAAGTGCTGTTTGAGTTTGATAATGTTCTGGCAGAGCGTTTCCTTGTCTTCCGAGAATCGTTTTTAAGGTTCCGTACCCCTTAAATTGGGACCCCTTAAATACGCCTCCACTGTCCGTCTGTCTGTCTGTCTTTATCTGTCATCGGACTTTCATAATCTACGATAGCTCAACCCATAGAATAAAATCTATAAGTCTTCGTCAATTTGATGGGATGAATCTATTTTTAGTTCAATTGAGTTTAGCAAAATTGCTGCATCCGGACCTAATCTTCCATTAAATTCCTTCATTATTCATTTTAGATTTTAAATCCAAGCAATCTAATATAAGTAGGGCATGGCTGATATCCCGGTCGGATTGGGGCGTTCATCTGAGGGAATTTAACTAGATAGCCAAATTCATTTGTTATTACAGAATTTGAAGTAGAGAATTCCATGGGGTACGGGAATTCCATTCAAGCTGTCAAGGTGATTGTCATCCCAACTAACTTTACACTCGTGCATTTTCCCTGTCTCGGATTAATTAAAAGGCCAAGTGTCCAAAGAGTTCCATACTATTTCTATAGAAACAACATTAGACACTGTATTATAATTTCGAACAGAAAACAGCTCTGTTGCATGGGAACTTAGACATTTTTTTTAATTCAAATTATTCATTTATTACTAAAGTACAACTTAATATTATGTGAAAATTTCTAACGACTACCTGTTGCCGTTCTTAATTAAGAGCAAAAAACGCCAAAAAATACGTTCGTTGTATGCAAACGCCACTAAATTTTATTTAGTATGGCACAACAGATACATTATCATAAGTGAAAATTTCAACTATCGCGGATTATGAAATCTCAATTGAACTAAAACTAGATTCATCCCATAGAATAATGTCAAATTAACATAGACGTTTAGACATTATTCTATAGGTTAAATCTAGTTTTAGTTGAATCGAGATCTCTGCAAGTGGGCCTTAGTATTTTTTTTTTAAATATTGATTAATACAATTTGCTTATATACATTTGCTATACATTTAATACGTTTAAGATTTTTTTTTTATTATGTTTGTTCTTAATATTTTAATACTACTTACATCTGATATAGAGTCCACATTTCCAGTAAAAAATTAACAATGAAAATATGAAATAGGTATAAATCACAAAATAGGTAAATTGAGGATGGCTCCGCTAAGTACTTACTCGATGCCTTGGATAGGTTACAGCGGCGCGCTACCCCCATCATAACTAACAAACACGAGTTACGCCGCGATGTGGCATCATTAAGCATATCCTACCTACTATATCACGGAGTGTTCTGAGGAGTTATTCTCCCTTATTCTTCCATCACCTTTTCTTCAGAGGACCACGCGCACTGGCCTACATTGCCACCGACTTACTGTGGCCACTATTCCTACACGAACAAAGAAATTTGGTGACTCATTTCTTTGTCGTGCTATTCGAAAATAGACCTTGATTAGTATAACTGGCGGGAGGAAAACGCTCAAATATGATTATTTTTAGTACTTTTATTTTCTAAAAATAACCTTAGGTGTAACAAAATTCACATACTTCAAAACAAGAGCGAAGTTTTTACACTTATGCTGCTATTGAGGAGGAAAAACCTTTATTTTGATTAAGTGGAATTCTTTGCCCGCGCACGTGTTCCCTTCCTGCGATCTGGGGTCCTTTAAGAGAGGCGTGAAAAAGCATTTTTGCAGGGCGGCAAGGTGAGGATGGTTGGTGTGGCAGTTTATAACTGCTGCACTAGCTATCTTCGGGTTAGGACTTTATCTCCACTTAATATCAGGTAGGGTAGAGCAATTTGCCTACCTGAATATGTAAAAAAAATCTTTTTTCGTTTTGATTTCAATACGTACATAATTGTATGTTTTAATGATATCTTTCATTGATTTGTTGAAGAAGTGAAGGAGTATCACTTATATACACACACGTAAGAAAAAGTTTGAATGTGTAACTGGGTGGACCAAATTCTAATCGCCGCGCGTAAGAAGATAACATATTTATCTTTTTTTAATACACTATCTTTGGTTCTACCAGCCAGTCTGACAACGATTACAAATAAAAAAAAATAAAAAAATATTATTGATACAGAATGATTGTTTCATTGATTGAAAACAGCAGCCTGTGCTGAACTCCTTGTGGGTCTCAGTTAAAGGTATCCCGCCGTAGACTTGCAAACCGATGGCGTATCAATTCGACTTTCGTAAACTTTTTGATTGCAGTCGGCTCAACTCCAGAACATGGCATGTTTCGTTATACGGACGCCGTTAATGTTGTATGCAAGGGTATTTGGACATAATGTGTTGGTGGGGAAGGATTCGACATCGGAAGCGGAAACATTACAGCAATGCATCAGTCTCGTGTTCATCATCATCGGTGTTACCCGCGGTTTATTAGGGATATTTTCCCACAGTAAAACGTAGCTTATGTGTTAATCCAGGGTGTCAGCTAATGCCATACCAAATTTTATTAAAATCGCTCCAGCCGTTTAGACGTAAAGAATTAACAAACACACACACTCGCAAACTTTCGCCTTTATAATATTAGTGTGATAATGCAACGTAAAAGTTTCTAACCGCCTTATTAATACACGAGGAATAAGCTTAGACTAGTTACGCCATGTTTTGTTCATATCACTTTAATGTCATTTGTCGTTCGATGAACGGAGATAAAACATGGAGTAACAAATCCAGCTCGGATTAGTTATTATTCGTTTATTAATAAGTCTATTTAGAAAGTACCAGCTAATAATTTTTTGGCACCTATTCGATGATCGAAACTTATAAATTATGCACGATTTCCGTAGCCACAGACCAATTGTTTAAACATACAAATTTAAAGAATCCCCTCTTTTGAAATTACGTTTTTGAATTTCGATTCGAGAACAAAAAAAAAAAAAATTAACAAGTTCGCACGTGACTAACACGATGATAACTATGCGTAGTATATTTGTGTGCGCTTAATTAATAATAAAAATCCAAAACTCTTACCATCAGCCGGAAGGTAAACGTTCAAATATAAACAATCTTCGCTGTACTCCTTTTTCCTCGGCTCCTCCAATTGAGATTCGAGTAGCTTCATAAACAGTTCATCGTGTTTGTCCCAAATCCTTTGCTGTACTTCGTCGCTCTTCGCTTCACTTTGCATACAATCAGGAGCGTATAGGGTAGCATTCCTCACCCCATCCCATTGAGGCAAATCAGTGTATTCCGGCGCCGCGAACCTTCTGAACTCAATCGGGGGCTGAGCATATGGTATTCCTAAATAGGCGGCGATCCTCTTTGTTCTAAACCTCGTTATGTACATTCCCGCTATTGTCCCTTGATTGGTTAAATTTATTTGTTTAGGCTCTCTTAGGGACAGCGCGAGCGTTATTAGAAGCAGCAATAATACAATGCGGATCATATTGCCCGGGATTTAGCAAATTCGATTTTCAAATATTAATTCGAGAACTTTACTACTGTACTGTTTATAAACAAATGATTCTAAATTTAAATTCGGATATGAGAGGCGTGTGTGGTTAAAAAAAACCGCGTTCTTATTTTAAAACAATGTTTTGTTTTTTAAACACCGGTTTGCACTGAATATTAGCGTTCGGCCTGGGTGGTGGGCGGCCTGGTTCGACGGTGGTGCGTTACTGTTCTCGTGCTGAGTTCGGCTCGTAAACAGTGGGGCTGTTCGTCGTTATAGCGACCAAGGAATCGCTTTTGTGAGCTCGAATTGGCGTAGAAGTGGCCACTTCCGTTTTTATACTTTGCCACTCAAATGGAAGATAACTTAATGTTATTCTATTGAAGTTATATTTTAAATTTTACGAGGACAATTGAGTTTGTAAGTATGACTGTTATTTCATTTAATATCAAAAAAACAAAGTGTAAAAATTTACATTGAAGTAATTTACAGTTCTTCTCAATACTAATATACCATATCTTTTTGCCTTGACATAATATTGTAACTCTTTGATCAAAGCTCGTGGGAATTACAACAAAGATAATAATATAATGAAATGAAGCTACAGTTTCATTTAATAACTATTAACTTTCTGTCTCTTCTGAGCGTTTGTAAGCGACGTTAATGTAAGCAGGCGGTAAGCTTGCGACGCCGCCGCTTGCGTGACCGAAGTAAAGCTCGGAGTCATTGCATTGCTCCCGCCATTGACGTCCGCCTCATCTGTTACAATGTGGGTCATGCACTGTGGCTTTAAATCGATTTGCGAGTCTGTACTCGTATTGTAAATTTATGTTTGTATTCTTTTTTTGAAAGCGAAATAGAAACTCAAAATTCCGTTCGCAAAGTAAAAAGTTTTTATTTACTGGTAATCAATACTGGCATAATATACTTATATTATCAATTCCAATTTTAAAAGTGAAACTTCGAAGCCTTAACTCAGTCAGCAACAGGAAAAGAAAATAACAAAATCGAGGCTATTAAATGGATAAGCCATCACTGAAGAGGGATTGCGATATTTAGCAGAAGGTTTGTATAAAATGTTTCAGTTAAGGCTGAATTTTAATCCCTGGTCAATAATATTTTGCTGATAACGTATTTTCAGAAAATGAAGATCTGTGTTAATTTGTCATCAATAATCATTTTTACGTTTCTCTTTTTATTGAGAAATAAAAGACTAAATTGAGTGGTTTTGTTTTGGGTCGAATTCTAATCTAATTATATTTACTTTCAAAAAACCTACCACAGATGGTTTATTTTTGTTTAATCTGTAGACTCAGCACTCGAGCTCTTTTAAATAACACTCATTTTTTATTCGATTTAAAATTATATTTTACGATATTAAAAACAAACATTGACTGTTAAAGTCTACACTGCACCGTTTTTTAATTTCAAATTAAGAATTAAAACGTTTTCATTTATATTGTTACACTGAAATATTAAATGAGATTTCAAGCTAAGAATAAATTTCAAAGCTTCGGCTTGTATTACTTCTATCCTTCACAAAAAAGGTAAACTATTCAATAGTCGAACTATTTTATAGCGTTGTGGCACGAAACGATATGGTATTGGCATTGCAGTGTATAATTTTCATAGTTCTTGTTGGTTACGCCAAGGTGAAACTTTTGGAAAAGCTATATAATCAAGGTTTTGTAATAATTTCCTGTAATATGTGCCATTCATTCTTTTTATTGCGTTTCATATTATGCCTATAATGAATTTGGTATTAAAATGTGGAAATTAATTTGCTGACCTTTTGCTTTTTAAAGTAATAATATAAAATTCAAAGCTTAGTATTAAGTATTTGCATGTTGCTTTGCGGTTTTATGTTGTTATGACTTATGTTTCTTCATGTTAATGTGTACTTTAATAATAATCTCAATTTAAGTTTATCATGCATGCAATTTAAAGAAAATAACTAATTCATAAAATACATCTCTTATCTATTAGACAAGTCCGTCCGTCCGTCCGTCTGTCTGTGGTGCTGTTTCAGCGGCCAAACCGTAAGAGATAGATAATGAGAATATTTAAGTTATAAGTTAAGAATAGTCTGATAAGACTACAAACCAGATTTGAGTAACGTAGCACTTCCGGTTTTCGAGAAATCACGAATTTCAAACGAAACCACACAAAATCTCCGAAGTTCTCAATTAATTAAATTCATTTTTTTTTAAATCAGGTTTTGGTGAACATTTGGTTCACTGGTTGCTAGTTAATAAATAATATATTATCGAAGTTCCCAAGTCTAAAAGATGTTCTTTTTTCATTATATTTCAACTCATTATTCAACTCATTACGACAGATATCTTATATATATAAAACTCAAAGGTGACTGACTGACTGACATAGTGATCTATCAACGCACAGCCCAAACCACTGGACGGATCGGGCTGAAAATTGGCATGCAGGTAGAAGTTATGAAGTAGGCATCCGCTAAGAAAGGATTTTGATCAATTCTACCCCCAAGGGGATAAAATAGGGAATGAAAGTTTGTATGAAACTTTGTCAATTTTAAACCGATCGTGCTGAGACTTTGCATTAAGGTATAAGAAGAATCATAGATGAATGTCATTGTGTATAATACAAGCCTGAGAACAAAAACTGTAGTCTACACTTCAGCTCTACACCGAAGCGAAGCGAGGGCGGGCCGCTAGTTGAAAATATAAATAAACGCAAAATTATTATAAAGCAAGCCTTTAATTTTTGCTGTTAAAAAGGAACTAAAATATTAAAGTTATTTATGCAACTGTTGTATAATGACGGATATTCAAACACGAATGAGGATTAACTACACCCTGGATTTGAATCCTCTATATGTAAATTATTATTGTATTAACCCTTTGATATTTTCCAATTCATGAAGCTTTAGTAAGTCTTTTTATACTGTTTTCTCGATTTTTTCGGTAGTAATTGGGTGGAAATGTCCTTTACTGCATTAGAATTATCTGGTGGTGATTGGTGTGTTATCACATCATGAATCGGTCATTTTATTACCAAAACAACAAAGTAATATATTTTTGCAAAACTATTAACGTGGGAAAATGTCGGGGATTCGAATAACATATAACTTTTTTTAACGGTGCTGTGGTAGCGAAACGTGAGTAAGAATGTCCTTATTTAGAATTTCATACCAATATAGCAAAATTTACTGAGTCCTCGCCTGCGGGGTAAAGGGTGTGGGGGAGCGGGCAGTAGGCACATTCTTGTCAACATTATAAGCACCCGCTCTCACGTCCTCCAATCGTGGATCCCTCCGATTCCGTCAGCCTAAGCGCGACTTAGAGTACCCTGACGAAGAAATTACCCGCGCCAACGCGCCTCCAATTCCTCCCACACAGGCCATAAATACCACACAGCTAGCAAACTTGCACACTAGCTAAGCATTAGGCAGACACCTAACCCATAGTATAAGAGAGCGAAGACCCGGTCTACACACGACACGCCATACCGGGTACCGCGGCCTTTTTCCCCGCCCCCCACGACAACGGCTAACTAGAGCCGAGGTCCGAGTCTCAGAGTCGCCCTCTAGTTGAGTCACTCCCCTCAAGTCGAGTGGTCTAGAGGTTCCAGACGGAGAGTCCAGACTTTACAAGTATGAAACATTTGAAAGAAAAAAATAGCAATTATAAGTATAATTTTTATTATTTTTAAAGCATGTAACTGCTTGATGTTTAAATCTAAAGAAAATATAACTAGAAAAAATTCCACGCGGACCAGGCAGCAGACGGGACTCGAACCAGCACCCTTCGCAATCCGGGCGAATGCACTGACCAATTATGCTACCGCGACCCTCACGGACCGCGTCGAAATTCTTTCTAGCTATTCTTAAGCTGCAGGGCAGCGCCATCTCTTCGCATTATAGGTAAACCCACAATGTCAAATGAATACTTTTACAAGTATTAAACATTTGAAAGAAGAAATAGCAATTATAGTTATAATTTTTATTATTTTTAAAGCATGTAACTGCTTGATGTTTAAATCTAAAGAAAATATAACTAGAAAAAATTCCACGCGGACCAGGCAGCAGACGGGACTCGAACCCGCACCCTTCGCAATCCGGGCGAATGCACTGACCAATTATGCTACCGCGACCCTCACGGACCGCGTCGAAATTCTTTCTAGCTATTCTTAAGCTGCAGGGCAGCGCCATCTCTTCGCATTATAGGTAAACCCACAATGTCAAATGAATACTTTTACAAGTATTAAACATTTGAAAGAAGAAATAGCAATTATAGTTATAATTTTTATTATTTTTAAAGCATGTAACTGCTTGATGTTTAAATCTAAAGAAAATATAACTAGAAAAAATTCCACGCGGACCAGGCAGCAGACGGGACTCGAACCCGCACCCTTCGCAATCCGGGCGAATGCACTGACCAATTATGCTACCGCGGCCCTCACGGACCGCGTCGAAATTCTTTCTAGCTATTCTTAAGCTGCAGGGCAGCGCCATCTCTTCGCATTATAGGTAAACCCACAATGTCAAATGAATACTTTTACAAGTATTAAACATTTGAAAGAAGAAATAGCAATTATAGTTATAATTTTTATTATTTTTAAAGCATGTAACTGCTTGATGTTTAAATCTAAAGAAAATATAACTAGAAAAAATTCCACGCGGACCAGGCAGCAGACGGGACTCGAACCCGCACCCTTCGCAATCCGGCCGAATGCACTCACCAATTATGCTACCGCGGCCCTCACGGACCGCGTCGAAATTCTTTCTAGCTATTCTTAAGCTGCAGGGCAGCGCCATCTCTTCGCATTATAGGTAAACCCACAATGTCAAATGAATACTTTTACAAGTATTAAACATTTGAAAGAAGAAATAGCAATTATAGTTATAATTTTTATTATTT